TTAAGACTTGTCTCAAATTTGAGTCATGTTCGTCCCTTGTCTGTCCGTATACCAAAATGTCGTCAACGATTCCAGTCACGCCTGGTAATCTTTCGAAGGCTTCGTCAAGTTTCTGTTGAAATATGTCCTGTGAACATATAAGTCCAAAAGGTAATCGCTTAAAACGATACCTACCAAATGGTGTGTTAAAGGTTTGTGTAATATGATGAAGTTTCATCCAATATCACGCTCCAGTAACCACTTGTGGCGTCCAGTACTGAGAAGTACTTTGCACCTGCTAGTTGCGAAGTGACTTCTTCGAAAGTTCTCACAGGGTAATGAGGTCTGTACAGGGCTTCATTGAGTTCCTTGGGGTCCAGACATACCCTAAGTTTTTTAGTTTTGGGTTTCTCTACAATCACTAGATTGTTAACCCATTCAGTTGGATTTTTGACCTTGTCAATGCCATCAAATACAGGTTTAAATTCATTGAGTATAGAGGGCTTGTAGCCAGTCTCAGGAGATATTTCCTGGCTATCTAATGAGTAAACAATCTTGATTAAATTTAGGTCAGTGGATGCCTGGAGGGATAACAGGTGTGAGGATGTAGTTTCTACCACATAAAATGTAATAGGCATAGTGACTTGTTTACAGGTTACTTGTAACCTAATTGTTCCTTTGACCTTAAGGCGATTGCCAGTATAATGAAAGCTTTGCACTTGAGGGTTCTAAGGGGTACTTAATACTAAGGTGTTTGAATTTTGATTCTGGCAAGATATTGACCTGACTACCTGTGTCAGTTTTAAATAAGATGTTGGTACATTTTGGACCTATGCTTAAAGTGGCAAATGCTTGATCTTTTTGAGATAAAAAATTATTTACCGTATTTACATAGAAATGAACATCAGAATTTTCGGAACTATCATAATCCGTATTTGCCTCAATGTCATGCACTGTTTTTGAACGGCATACACTCTTGAAATGATTTAATTTTCCACATTTGTCACATTTTTCCCTTTTGCTGGGCACTCTCTGTCATTATGTTCATAACCACATTTGTCACATTTTTTACCACTGACTGCCGACTTCTTGGGTTTTCCATTTCTAGACTGCTTCTGTCTACTTTTACCAACTTCTGCACGTGCGGCTGGTGCACGGTGTCTGTACTCACGTCTGTTTGTTACAGCATGTACGTCATCGCGGCTCATTTCTTTCATTTGCTCCCTGGAGAATTCATAATTTTGACAGATTTGAATAGCTTTTTCTAAGGTTAAGTCCTTTCCTTGATTTATTAATTTCTCTCTAATTTTGTTCGAATTTGTCCCAAATACAATCCTGTCACGTAACATTTCATTTAAATTTGGAAAATCACAATCTTTAGCTTTAAGTCTTAATCTTGTTACAAATGAGTCTATTGATTCGTCTTTTTGGATTTCGTTGAAGAACTGGTATCTGGCAAAAATTGGATTTAGAGTTGGTCTCAGATAGTTTCTAAATTTTTCATTAAATGTATATATCTAGCTTCTTTGCGTTTTCCTCTGTTATGTCTGTCCAAGAATGACGTATGTCGCGGCCTTTATCACCAAGCCACAAAAGTAGGTATGACACTTTTTCCTTTTCTGGTTTGTCTGCTAGAGGTCCACTAAATACTAAATTTGCATGTCGTACAAATTTTTCAAATGCCTCTGGTAAATTGGTGTCGTCCCATCTCATAGATGGCGGTACAATTCCTTCCATTTTTTTACTGTTAATTAATTAGTCCATAATTAATTATCCATCATAACATATATTGAACAGTATTTAAACCAATATATATTAAAACATAGTATTGTTTATGTCCAAATTACTTCTGACACCATGTAATATTTGGCACTTTGTATAGACAATAGTCTATAATATTCTAATGACATCTAAGTCATAGTATAAACAACTAACACAAAGTGTGTCTTAACTGTTTAATTTACTAATTCCAAGTGCGCTGTAGCTGCATACATTTAGGCGGGAATACATGTTACAGAGAATCATGGGAAGTATAGACTTGCTATAGTGATAACATAAATGAATTACAAGTACATAATTCTACAGTTAGGTAATTTTTATATTACGTAAGCTTCTTGCTTAGTTAACAAAATGAAAAAGATAATTAAGTATTACTAGCACCATGGATAATTACCAAAATTATTGTTCCATTTTCACTTACATTTATTGAGGTCAATATCACATGCGTATATGTATAATTACGGGAGGTGATATTTACATAAATACTGAATGTCATGCCTTAATACTTCACAAATAGTTAACAAAATACCTGTTTTAACGATGCACACCGATAATTGTATTCATCTTCACTTCTTTGTTATTCAATACGAGTTTATGTTACAAAAATTTTCAATTTTCGTGTGCATGGCGGGCATTTGGTCAGGGTTGTTATACTTTCGGTTTAGTTCTATTTGTAATCTCAACACGAGGTCAGACTGATACAGATGTTTTCTATGGCAAAGTTGTTGAATGGACTAATTGATATGCATTATTTATTGATTTGAATTGTATGTTTGTTCTTAGAATAAAATATTATGACATATTTATTTTATATTGTAACCTCGAACCACATAATTTGCATACCAAAATATTTTGGTACTTATTTGCATACGCAAAGCTAATACCAGCGTTCGTCTTTGCCTCTGTCCTTACTGTAGAATAGATGTACAAAATTTTGTCTCATCGAAATCTTTCATAAATTTCAATAAAAGTTTCATTCATTGAAAAAAATCATCTTGAAAAGGTATCTTTCCCGCAAACCGGAAGGATGTAAAAATAATATCCATACTGTAAATTAAACTTTTATCTTAATCAGCTAATTTTTGTGACAAAAATACAACATTTTTTGTTCACTTTCGTTTCTTTGTGAAATATTTTACACATAAAATGTGCAAGTCATTGTCAAGAACCGAAATATTTTACATTGTATTTCGGAAATGACACAGTCTCTTTTCTGATGGTGTTACGAAATTAATTGAAGAATCCATTATTGAATACGGAAATCAACGTCACTGTAGCTCTCAATTTGTGCTATTCTGATTGACTCTGTTCACATTCAACACCTTTTCATCTTTCTAATGCTTTAACAGAAAAATCTTTATAACAATGTCTGTTGAGACAAACAGACAAATACAAGATACAATATCTCAATTTATCCCTACAAAGAAAGTCTATATAACCTTGCAATAAAAAAAACCATATAACCCCCAAAACAGAGACCAATTTTCAACTCTAGACCATAATTTGAATATACTTTGTAGAAACCAACAAACTAATGCCTTGTGAGAAATATCTAAGCTCTAGCCCTTTCCATTTTGAAGTATAAGAACTTTTAAGTGTTTTCTTTTAGTTGCAATAGCAACCAAAGTTTAGCATGGAATGGAATTATTTGAACAATCTTGATAGAGCTTCATACCACAGATGTATAAACAATATCATATTTAACTCCATGTTCATACAAATAGTATTCCTGCCAAGTTTCATTAACATTGGCCTTGTGGTATCATAGAAGATGTCGTTTGAATAAAAATAGGACGGACGCCGGACGACGGACGCAAATGATGGGCCATCCTAATAGCTCACCTGCACTATGTGCAAGGTGAGCTAAAGGTCATTTAGCTTAAATCTAGGTCAGCTAATATTAATGTCCAATTCTGTATCTGAAACATTGTACAAATTCCATAGTTGTATCTAACAAAGGGGTCATTAGCCCAAAGCACTCACCTGAGGATAGACTTTTTTGTGTAGAAAGCAGTGAAAGTAAGTGTTCATTACAAGAATTTGAAACGATATTGGTCTCTAGACCATACTTCATGCAAAATATATTTTTCAATTATACTATATACCTGGCCCTAATTTCATAGCTGTACATCAGCAACTAGAAAGGAAGTAGGTTAATAGGTCAATATCTAGGTCATTTGATATCAAATTTAAACCCCTGAAATTATGATCATGGTCAAAATGTCATAGCTGTATATAACAAGATTGCATTTGAGAAAAATGCTATGCCACCGCATGGTTCAAATTTCATAGCTGTACATCAAAGGACAAGAAAGTAGGTCACATCATCAAAATCTAGGTCACCTGATATCAAAGTTCAATTTTACAACTAAAACTGTGCACATGGTCAAACTGTCATTACTGTACATCAAAGGACAAGAAAGTAGGTCACTGTCCCCTTGGGCAAGGCATAATTTTGACCCAAGGGTTTAATTCAAAACAATTTTGATACAGGTCCACAAAACAACATTTCAAGTCAAATATCTAAGCTATAGCTTTCTCCCATTCAGAAAACATTTGTTTTATTTTCTGTTTTTACTATGTGTACATAATGAGAATCACTGCCCCCGGGCAGGGCCAATTTTGACACCAGGGGAAATTTTTTGAACAACTTTGGTAGAGGACCTATAAATGATATTATATATCAAACATCAAAGCTCTATGCCTTGTACCTTCAGACAAAAATATTTTTTATTTTTTCACTATATGTACATAATGAAAATCAATGACCCCCGGGGCGGAACCAATTTTGACCCCAGGGCTATAATTTGAACAATCTTGCAAGAGGTTCACTACACAATGTTTCATGCAAAATATCTTAACTCTAGCCTTTGTAAATTTAGAGAAGATGATTTTTTAAGTTTTTACTATATACATTTAAGGAAAACCTATGGCCACTGGGGGCGGGGCTAATTTTGACACAAGAGGCAAAATTTAAATAACGTTTGTAGAGTACCTTTAGATGATATTATTTAACAAATATTAAAGCTCTAAGCCTTGTACCTTCAGACAATAAGATTTATTTATTTTTTACTATATGTATATATTGAAATCAATGACTCCAAGGGCGGAGCCGATTTTGACCCCAGGGCTATAATTTGAACAATCTTGCTAGAGGTTTACTACACAATGTTTCATGCAAAATATCTAACCTCTAGCATTTGTCAATTGCTAGAAGAATTTTTTTTAAAGTTTTTACTATAAGTTTTTACTATATACATATAAGGAAAACCAATGACCCCCGGGGCGGAGCCGATTTTGACCCCAGGGCTATAATTTGAACAATCTGGGTAGAGGTCTACCAGACAATGCTTTATGCAAAATATATAAGCTCTAGGCCTTTTGGGTCTTTACAAGAAGGTGTTTTAAGTTTTTACTATATGTACATATAGTGAAAATCAATGACCCCGGGGCGGGGCCGATTTTGACCCAAGGGCTATAATTTGAACAATCTTGGTAAGGGTCTACCAGACAATGCCTTATGCAAAATAACTAAGCTCTAGGCCTTTTGGGTTTTTACAAGAAGGTATTTTAAGTTTTTACTATATGTACATAGTGAAAATCAATGACCCCCAGGGCGGGGCCAATTTTGACCCAAGGGCTATAATTTGAACAATCTTGTCAGAGGTCTACCAGACAATGCCTTATGCAAAATATCTAAGTTCTAGGCCTTTTGGGTCTTTACAAGATTTTTTAAAATTTATTCTTATAATTCCTTTTGGTTGCCATGGCAACCAGATTTCTGCATGGAATGAAATTCTTTGAACAACTTTGGAAGCCCTTCACCCAAGGAACAATCCTGCCAAGTTTGGTTGAAATTGGACTAGTGGTTTTTCACAAGAAGATTTTTTAAGTTCACTATATAATCTATATAACACACACACAAACACACACACAAACACACGCACAAACACACACACACACACACACAGGTGAATCGCTATATGCCACCGCATCGCAGATGCTGCGGTGGCATAAAAAGGTCAATTACCTGATCAAAACAAAATTAATGCAAGTTGATTTTACATCTAAAACTGTGTGCATGGTGGAAATTTCACAGCTGTACATCAAAGGATAAGAAAGTAGGTCACTGGCAATATCTAGGTCAGCTGATATGAAAGTTCAGTTTTACATCTCAAACTGTGAACTTGGTCCAAATTTCATAGCTGTACATTAAAGGACAAGAGCAGGTCACCTTAGGTGGAGATTTATTGTCCCTAGGGACCTAAATTTGAACAATCTTTGTACATGTTCACAAATTTTTCATCACAAATGTTTCATGCCAAATATCTAAGCTCTAGCCTTTTAAGCTTCAGCATAAGATATTACTTTACTTGTTTGTCATGGCAACTGGATTTCTTCATGGAATCAAATGCTTTGAACAACTTTGGAAGCCCTTCACCCAAGGAACAATCCTGCCAAGGATGGTTGATAAGTTCACTATATATTCTATAACGCACGCACACACACACTTTATGCGACTGCATCACAGATTCTGCGGTGGCATAAAAAAGACTAGCATAATCTTCAGACTGCCATCTATCCATATATTTTAAGTTTCATAAAAATATTTTCAGTTCTTACAAAATGGTATTGATGCTATTTATCTTTTTATAGGCATGAAAGAATTTCGGCGTATATTGTTATGCACCTGGTTGTCCGTCTGCAGGTTTTCTTGTCCGGTCTGTATCTTTTGAACCGGTGGAAGAAAATTGAAACTACTTCGCAGAAATGTTAACCATAATTAAACAATGTGCAGAGCGCATATTAGACCTTTCTCAGGTAGAGGTCAAGGTCACACACAGTCATTTTGTATCAAGATTTAATTTGTGTCCGCTCTTTTGAACTGATAGAAAGAAATTGAAACTATTTCGCAGAAATATTACTTATATCAAGACAGTGCGCAGAACATAAGTTCGAACTTCCTAAGATCAAATTGGCGCCGCCCAGGGTATTAATTGATTGATATAGACTTATATAGTAGTTTTTTGTGTCCAGTATGTATCTTTTGAACCGGTGGAAAGAAATTGTTTACCATAACATACATTGGAATGATGTGCAGAGCGCAGGTTTGACCCTGCTCAGGTCAAGGTCACACCTAATCATTATGTAACAATTTCAAAATTTTGTGTCCACTCTGTTTCTTTCAAACCCATAGTATGAATGGCAGAAATATTTATATTACTAAGATGATGTGCAGAGCGCAGTTTTGGACCCTCAGGTAAAGGTCAAGGTCACACTGACTCATTCAAAATTCTAACATAAGTGTATATGTTACAAAAGGAGATTACAGTGTATGAATTTTTTAATATGTTTCCTTCCAATATACATGTATATGTATTTACCTCCCTTTAATTTCCAAAATCTATTACTTGATAATTATCAAACTTCATATTTTTAGATTTTTCCTGTAAAGATTGTAATAATTGAGGAGCTTTTATATGATTAAATTATTTTGTAATAAGACAATCTTATTAATTGATGCCGACGTTTTAATTTCTGATATGTAAATTCACTAAATAACAAGATTTGTGCTTTTGAATTTTTGGTATAATATTATTAATATGTTTCTTTGAATTTTAATCATTTAAAAACCAACATGATTGAAAGAAAATGTACCATTACCTATTTTTCTCTTAGTCACACAAGTGTAACCTCTGTGTTTGTATGGACAGATGGTAAACCTAGTCCCCACCCGTTAAACCAGAGGGGACTCATAAGGATAACAAACACATAATTTTGAACACAGGGGCAAATTTTATTTCTGTTTCATAATGGAAGGTAAAAAAAGTCAGCAATTAAAAAAACTGGTTACAACTCAAAAACTTTCCGATATCAACTTGCTTCTATAATCAAATATTCATGTACAAAAATAGAAATTCTTCCTCTCTTACTCATTCTTCCACTAAAAAAAGAACTTTCTCTTTAAGGATTCTAGGAAAAAATTTAATCACTTGTTTGCCATCAGAATGAATAAGCAAATATGATATGATGTATTCCACTGGCTCTGGTATATCCTTTGATATCAACTTAAAATGCAACTGTTCGATCCCTGAAATTTCAATATAAAATGTATAGCCTCATACGAGTTGGGCAGTTTTTATTGAAACGGCTGTATTAAAAAATATGAAATAAATAGCATAGCTAATGTGATCTTATACAGCCTAATAAACCATGTCTTATAATAATTGTGAAACAAAGTCGATAGCAGCATTTCCTTATGTCTCTAAAATGATTAGAGTAAACTTGGTTCAATAATACTCCTTTGTCTAATATCATTGCTGTGCCTCTGCAGTTAACAAAATTTTGATTGAATTTTGAAAAGCCAATAACTCCAAGATGCCTCAATGAAAGAAATAAGGTGATAAATTTGCTTTTGCGCAAATAGCCCATGCCTGAAATAATTGCTAAAATGGTTAAAACCTACACCATAATATTTTGTTCGGGAACATTTTAAAGCTGCAAGCTCATTTTCGTGTAAATTTTGAAAATCCATTTGAAAGTAATATGTTGTGAATTGAACAAGGAAAGTTATAAAGACATTGGAATCTAAATAAATTACCAAAGATGTAAAAATATGCAAAAGAAGCATGTACACACTTAGAAATATGGTGATAAATATTATGAAATGAGCCATCAATCCTACATAGCATGTAAATTACAACTTGAATCTTTTTACTTTTTTTAAAGTCATAGTACATTATTTTCAAGTTTGATTTTCTTGAAATATTTTGGCTCATCTGGAGGCATGCAGCTTTAATCTGTTTATGCACAGTTATCATGGATGCTTAATAACAGAAACATTCTGTAGAATGGACTAATCATTTTATGGAAATAACATCTATAAATTCAATAACATAAAGCCTTTTACCATAGATTAGCAATGAATAAACCATAAGTATCTAAACACTGTTAATATCAACTTCATTACAATAGTTCTCTTATTCACAAAAATTTTTAACATTTTTTAAAAGTAACAAAAAAGTAAGCAGTTCACAAATGCATAGAAAATACCATAAATCTTTCAAATACATGCACTATTGTTTCCTTAACCCTTTACCTCATATATACGCGAAACAACGCACTTTCGACCCCCCCCCCCCCCTTTAAGGCCTCAAATAGTGAAAAAAGGTCCTGTTTGGGCCCCAAACACATGTTTTTGTTTTGAGAAATGTTGTTAAAAAAATTGACTACTTTTTCGGCACGGCACCACAACCAAAAGATACATCAGGGGGTTGCCAGAAGGGGGATGTGCCCCCTTCTGTTTGGGGGGTTTGAAGGGGGGCAGAAGTCCCCCTCATTGCCAGAAAAATTTTGGACTTGTTAGAGGCTATAAATGACCCCAGATCGATCATAAGGTAACATGTAACCAACGCTGAAAAGCATTTGACTCTATCTCAAACCATTAAGAAGTTGCAGCACTTTGAAATCAATTTTGATGGAAAAAATCAGCGCAAAATAGTGATTTTTGGCAATTTTGAGATGTCTCCTCATTGCCATGTTAACAGGAAATTTAAGCCTGAGCATGTTGTTACAAGGGCAATGGTCCAGTCAACATTTGTGCCAAGTTTGATTAGTATTGAAGCAGTTTTCAAAGTTTTATAGCAATTTGAACTTGTAACAGGAGACTTTTCAATGAAAACAGACATGTTTCACAAAATGCTTATGAAGTAATGGGTTAAATTAAAAAAATCTAGAAACTTATCTTTAAAGCAGCAGGCCTCCAGAACAGAAAAACTACCATACTTATATTTGAAAATCCCTCCTAAAATTTTACATTATCTAGTTTAAAGAAATAGAAATAAAAATAAAAAGGAATAAACTGCTTTGGTTTGGATGTGTGTATTATTTTGTGGCATTAAAAATTATAATGAATTAATTTTATAATATATAAGATGACCAGTATATCGATTTAAACTTTAGCTTGAACTACTCATTGACGAAAATTGATATCTGAACCTGGGCGTACCGGATACCGTGATTTTTCTGAACCACTGTTGTTACACCTGACCATGTTGAATTATCTTCTATTTATATTGGCTACTGCTTTTTAATGTAGTAAATTATGCAAAGAAAAAACACTATATATTCATGCTTTTGTCAACATTTTTTCTTAATTAAGATGTTAGTAATAAAGGATTTACACAATTAACCTAACAAAATCATAATTAACCGTTTACTTGAAATTTCTTTTCATTTTACCATCTTGAGGCGAGTGGCTTTAATCACACAATTGAAAATAAATTGATTTCTAAGTAAACATGACATACATTGTATTTTACAATGACAAAACATATAGCAATGATGGTCAAAGTAAATCCATAATGCATTATTCACCTTTAAAAAAATGTATAACAACAAGTATAGCCTATTTATTCTTATATTAACAAGTGGGTCATGATGGCCGTTATATCGCTCACCTGATTATGAAGGCTCAATCCCATTTTATTTGGGCTGTGTGACCTAGTTTTTGACCACAGATGACCGATACTCGAACTTGACCAAGAAATCACCAAAACAACATTTCTGACCTATTTTCAGGATATTTGGATCACAATAGTAGCCTCTAGGGTGTAAACAATGTTTTCCCATATAAGGGCTGTGTGACCTAGTTTCTCAACACAACTGACCCATATTTGAACTACACCTGGAAATCATCATAATAAACTTTATCCCCTTAAGTGTTAAAAAGGTTTTCCAATATTTAGGCTGTGTGACCTTGTATTTGACCCCAGGGGAGCCATATTCAATCTTGACCAAGAAATCACCAAAAATTAACCCCTGGTCAAAATTATAAGTCTGTATTTCAAAAAAAAACAAAAAGAAGAAATTAGGTCAAATGGTGTCAAAAATATCAAAAGTAGGTCAGTTGATATCAAAATTCAATTCAACATAAAAAATTACACTCCTGGTCCAAATTTCAAGTCATTACATAAAAATGTAGGTCAATTGATATCAAAATTCAATTCACAGGCTGTCCAACGTCCCTAATATTCCTAAAAAAATCCTATTTTTTTCAATTTTGCTAAAATTCCTAAAGAAATAAAAAAATCAAAGGAAATTCCTAAAAATGCCCTATTTTTTCACTCAAATTCCTATATTATTTGTCTTTTGTTATTAAAGTACTTAACTTTAAAATGTTTTCATTCTAATTATGTTTTAATGTAGTTTTTCAGCTCTCCATATTCAGAGTAGACAGTTCCATTGTGAATCCATTTATTCAGGTTGTTTTTGGTTGTGACTGGGTGACAGAGATTTAATTTCTTAAAGGAGCAGCCAACAACTAAAGACTATGGAACACTGGCAGACATCTTTGCTATAAGCATTATTTATGAGTTAATTTTATGTCAAATATACAAAGGTAAGCCCATATCATGGTCTTTTTTGGGCCATTGTTTAGAAACAAAATTCCAAATTTTAGCCGGAAAATTTCTTTTATGTACCCTATAATTTCTAATTTTAGACCTAAAATTTCTCAAAAATTGCCCTAAAATTTGCCCTAATTTTTGTCAGAAGGTGCTGAACAGCCTTAATTCAGGATCAGAAATTACACCCAATGTCAAAATTTCAAGTCTGTACATCAAAAAACGAGAAACTAGGTCAAACCATATCATTAATATCAAAAGTAGGTCAGTTGATATAACAAGAGGGCCATGATGGCCCTAGATCGCTCACCTGACCCATCAAACTCATCCAAACAATTACATAGACAAGCATTCTGACCAAGTTTCATGACAGGTGAGTCAAAAATGTGACCACTACAGTGTTAACAAGGATCATCCATATTTGAGCAGTGTGACCTAGTTTTTTACCCAGGTGACACATATTCAAACTTGACCTAGAAATCATCAAAACAAACTTTCAGACCAATATCCAGGATACTTGGATCAAAACAGTAGCAACTAGAGTGTTAACAAGATTTTTCTATTTTTAGCTCCGGTGACCTAGTTTCAAATGCGATTTCAATTACCTAGACAAGCATCCTGACCAAGTTTGATGATAATTGAGTCAAAAATGGCTTTTCCATATTTGGGCGGTGTGACCTAGTTTTTCATTCAAGATGACCTATGTTCGAACTTGACTTAGAAATCATCAAAACAAACTTTCAGACCAATTAACAGGATATTTGGATCAAAACAGTAGCCACTAGAGTGTTAACAAGATTTTTCTATTTTTAGCTCCGGTGACCTAGTTTTTCATCCGAGATGACCCATGTTTGATTTAATCCCAGCAATGACCTAGACAAGTTTCCTGACCAAGTTTGATGACAATTGAGTCAAAATTGTGACCACTAGAGTGTTAACAAGGTTTTTCTATTTTTAGCTCCGGTGACCTAGTTTTTCATCCGAGATGACCCATGTTCGAACTCATCTGAGCAAGTACCTAGACAATCATCCTGATAAAGTTTGATGACACTTGTGTCAAAAATGTGACCGCTAGAGTGTTAACAATATTTTTCTATTTTTAGCTCCTGTGACCTTGTTTTTCATCTGAGATGACCCATGTTCGAACTCATCAAAGCTATCACCTAGACAAGCATCCTGACCAAGTTTGATGATGATTGATGCAAAAATGTGACCACTAGAGTGTTAACAAGGTTTTTCTATTTTTAGCTCCGGTGACCTACTTTTTCATCCGAGGTGACCCATGTTTAAACTCATCCAAGCTATCACCTAGACAAGCATCCTGACCAAGTTTGATGATGATTGAGGCAAAAATGTGACCGCTGGAGTGTTAACAAGGTTTTTCTATTTTTAGCTTCGGTGACCTAGTTTTTCATCCGAGATGACCCATGTTCGAACTCATCTGAGCTATCACCTAGACAAGCATCCTGACCAAGTTTGATGATGATTGATGCAAAAATGTGACCGCTAGAGTGTTAACAAGGTTTTTCTATTTTTAGCTCCGGTGACCTAGTTTTTCATCCGAGATAAGCCATGTTCGAACTCATTCTAGCTATCACCTAGACAAACATCCTGACCAAGTTAAATGATGATTGAGGCAAAATTGTGACCTCTAGTGTTAACAAGGTTTTTCTATTTTTAGCTCTTG